GAGAAAGGGGAACCCTCCTACACTGTTGGTGGGAATGCAAGCTGGTGCAACCACTCTGGAAAACAGTATGGAGGTTCCGCAAAAAGTTGAAAATAGAGCTACCATATGATCCAACAATTGCACTACTGGGTATTTACCCCAAAGATACAAATGTAGGGATCCGAAGGGGTACATGCACCCCGATGTTTATAGCAGTAATGCACCTCCACTTTAGACCACAGACTGAATCAATAAGGAATTCACTTCCGCAAGGACTTTGTATAATAGAATTCCTCCCTCGGTGACCCAACTCATTGAAAGTAACTACTCTTTCTTCATGAGGTAAATGTCAATTCTGTTCCAAGGCCAGTTTTTCAAAAGATCATTGAGAAAAGTCAAGGAAAAAAAAAAAAAGAGGGAGGGAACTACCATTTGAAAAAGATATTTTTCTGTATTGTCTTATTTTTATATCTGGAAACTCCATTAAGTGTCTCGACCTTGGAATCTTGGAATTTCAGAAATAGAGGGGACCCTTAAAGGGCTATTCATTCTAGTTTTTCATTCATTTTGTTCTGGAATTCCCTCTGCTGAGCAGGCCAACTTGCAGAATTCAAAAGCTAGACCACTTTCTCATATATAATTCTGTGTTGCATCTGACTGATGTTTCGAAGACATCATTACTCATTTTGTGGCAAAAGGGGATAGTATTTATAGAACCTGGAAAAATAATCAACTCTGCCTGGTTTATTCTTTTGTTCCCAAGGCTAATTTTAGGGTGTTGTATTTAAAACAAAACAAACCATAACAAAAAAGTACCTGTTTTGCAGAGCATTGTGATTATGCTTCTGTTATGTTGCTGATAATTTCTATTAGACTTAGCAATGTGTAAGTCTATATTCTCTTCTAGAGTATAAGATCTTCAAGATAATAATATATTATCATTATAATGACAACAATAGTAGTTTACTCTGTACGGGCACTGTTCAAAATGCTTTATACACATTTTCCCACAAATCCTCCTAACAACCCCGTAAAAGTAGATATTCTTATTATTCCCATTTCATAGGTTAAAAAAAAAAGATGAAGTACAGAGAAAATAAGGAACTGGTTCAAGATCATGCAGTGGGCAAGCATGCATGGTCAAACCTGCCTGCAGAAAGTAGAGGAAGTGTTAGGAATTGTGCATAGTTTTCGTCTGTGCATTTCTTTTCTCTAATAGTACCTGGAAGAGTGGTTTGCACAGTTGAATCCTTGAAAGTGTTGGTTAAACCGAGTTTTGTAATGATCGTTCTGTCATATATCTGTGTCTGTCTGTGCATATGTGGAGGAATGAAAAAGAGAGAGAGCTGTCTACCAGGCAGGGTGAAATTGGATATTCAGGTTATTAATTTCCTACCATCACCTATTATTGGCTATGGAGAAGTATCACCAGAATTTTCAGGTGTAGACTACCACCAATTTAGCATTGCTCAACAGGTACAAAACCTTAGTGAATATTTTTACAAGTGCATGCATATACTTAAGCAGCTTGTTTTATATAGTATATTACCTGAACTAGCAAATAACAACCATACAGCTAGAGACAGGCATTTTTTTCCCCAGATTTTTATATAAATTCTGGTTAGTTAACATATAGTGTAAAATTGGTTTCAGGAGTAGAATTCAGTGATTAGTCACTTACATACAACACCCAGTGCTCATCATAACAAGTGCCCTCCTTAATGGCCATTTAACCCATCCCCCTGCCCACCTCCCCTCCAGCAACCCTCAGTTAAGAGTCTGTTTCCTGGTTTGTTTCCTTCTCTCTCTCTTTTTCCCCTTCCTATATGTTGTAGATACAGACATTTAGATATCTGTCATTGTGCATGTGTGTCTTTTGTTATGACAATAGAGCACTGTTCTAAAATTATTCTTTCATTCAGTTTATTCAGCTCATCTCTATGCTTTATCTCTTTAGCCATTAAATAGGAAAGTGCTACTGATACTATTAAGGATATTAATAAAACTCCCACCACAAAACTCAGTTTTTAAAAATCACTATTAATAAAGGCAAGTTACCGCTCTTCCCATTCGCACTAATTACCCCCCACTTAATCATTTCCCTAGTTTAATTCACTTAAGTATGTTACAAACTGTGTGGACAGCCATGATTCATCCCTCCTCCATCCCTGGAGCTAGACAAAGGTGTCGAGGTTTAAAATCCTCTAAGAATCCATAAAGCCCTAAAGGTACTCACTAAGTCAGTGTTTAGAAATATATGTATATTATAACCCTGGAGAAAGTGACTGCCTGAGGCAAATATTTAAGAAGAATAAAAGCCATCACCGTTAATGGTCTCCTCTCCCTTACGACATTCTGGAATGCTTACTACCTGGGCCACGTGTGTTGGCACATTCAAGTCTTGTTTATCCTCTGTTACTTATTTTTTTTTAATCTACATGGTGACCAGACGTGCACAGGCCAAATGTCCTATTATTGCAAGGGGAAGGAGAGCCTTTTCCTTTTGGAAAAAAACAAAAACCATACCTGAGTGTGGCAAGGCT